AATTTATCTACCTAGTAGCTTCTCAACAGGCAAATCTCTCTCTCAAAAATAACAAACTTGCCAAAATAGCAATAGCATAATTTTTTCTCACACCCCAAAATAACAAACTTGCCAAACTTTGATTTGAAAATTTGCATAAACAAAGTAAGCAAATGCAACTAACCCACCCCAAAACCGCAAATAAAAAACCCTAGAAAACCCCAAATCAAAGACCATAGAAAATCCTAAATCAAAACCTAAAAGGATAATGCAGAATATTAGCATAATGAACAAAAAAAATACTCACTTGAGTTTGAATTTTGAAGGCGAAACTTCTGCACAATCTTGATTTTCTGAAGATTGAATGACAAAAACTCGTTTTTTTCATCCACCAAACATCAGACGAATAGAAGAGATGCAAAGAAGAAAAATTTTTAGAGCTGAAATCACAAGGAGGAGACGAAGATGACAAAGAGAAACGACGTAGAGAGACGAAGAGATGAGACATGAAGGATGAGGCAGAGGTAGAAGTGACAAAGAGTAAAGACGTAGAGAGATGAAGAGATGAGACGTGAAGGAGGAGGCGGAGGCTTCGAAACCCGTGGTTCCACTTGGGTTTACAAAACCCTCATACGATGGATTCTTATTAGGAGCAACAAAAAAAGTCACAACCAGTCCAATGTGTATTTAGATTCACCAAACAACTGTTAGGACTATAATCCATTTTAATTGAAAAAATCTAGTCCAGTTCAGTCCACCAAACAAGGCTTGAGGATATTGTAATCTAAAATGGAAAGTCCTGTTAATCAACATTAATATTATGTTTTTTCTTGTGCCTTTATTTTCATCATTTGATACTCCTTGATAATCGATATCGATAATGTTTTGGGTTTATGAGATCGTAATATAGCTATGATTAGTTTAATATGTCATATTGCAATTATAATTAGCATTTTACTGAATTTCGACAAATGTTGCAGTTGATTGTTCTCTGTTTCTTTCATCAATTGATACTCCTTGATAATTCAAATTATCTTTGATAATGTTTTGGTAGTTTTGCACTTAGACTAATTTCAACATAGTTGGAGTTATTGCCAACACTTTTTATATACTTTGAATTGTCAAAATCTTGTACTACCATGCTTGGAAGATTGCCCTGGACTGTCAAGAGTACATAAATTGCATGCAAAGACCTTTGCTATTACTTTGAATATAACTAATACACTATTACTGAAGAATATTTTGGATGAATTGGAGCTTGTATATGACCTAATATTTGAAAAAATGCATTTGCTCACTTAAGATTTCCTCCTCTTCCATCAACAAATCCTCAATTTCTTCTTCCATTACAATCAAGTCATGAAATGTGGTGTGGGAAGCGGGATGCAAAATGACACTCATCTTCAATGTAGCATCATAAAATACCTTTAAAAAATTCACAAAGGTACAAGCATTGTTCCAATCCTCATTAGTTGGTGGCCCTTCCCTCTTTCTAGGGTAATGAGATATAACCACCCCATCTTCACCAAACCAAGAAATATATGGGCCTTCATTATCTTCTCCCATTCTCCAAAAGGCTTTTTCAAACTTTAAGGCAACTTCTAATATCATATATGTGGAATTCCACATTGTTAGCACATCCAACACCACAAACCCTTTGCATTCAATTTGCTCTTTCTTAAAACAACTCTTAAAGTCCTCTAACCTTTTGGGAGAAGATCTTACATACTTCACCGTATTTCTTATACACAATATGCTTTTTTCCAACTTCTTCAACCCATCACGAACTATCAAATTCACAATATGAGCACAACACCTAATGTACATATACTTTCCCTATAATAGAAGACTACTATTTCCCCAATGGCCATTTTCGACTTCAAGTAATCTATAGCCTTTGTGTTTGAAGAAACATTATCGGCCGTGATGGTTAATATCTTCTTCATATTCCAATAAAGCAAACATGACTCAAGGAGTTTACCAATTGAGTTCCCCTTGTGATTGGAAATGACACAAAAGTTCAAGATTTTTTTGTGCAAGTTCCAATCACAATCTATGAAGTGTGCCGTGATGACCATGTAATTGATGTTTTGAACACTTGTCCAAGTGTCCGTTGTGAGGCATACTCTATGTGGTGCTAATTCTTCTTTCAATTTTTGTTTCATGGCATCATACATTACCATGAAATGCCTCACAAGTGTCCTACGAGATGGCACTTGGAAATGGGGGTTCAAAGAATTACAAAACCGCCTAAACCCTTTTCCTTCAACCACACTAAAC